TATTCTGTAATTTTCCCCTTGCTTTCTCTACATTTTGAGCTTATTTTATGAGTTCTATTTGCTTGCAGCTTAGGCGCAATAAATAAAACTTATTGTTTTTCTTAATTTTCTTCATGTTTTTTTATATTTCATTTTCTTAAATACTCATGAGTAGATCATATAAGTTTTTTTTAAGATATAATGAATTAACCCTGAGAGTCTAAAGAGCCATAATATAATACTAAATATAGAGCTAATATTATGAATAGTTTTTTAATTTATATTTAATTCATATTATTTATTCTAAACTAATGGTAATTAAAGTAGTTATCTTAGTAATACCTTTAAGTATTTTTATTATTTAAGAATACCACGCATCACAATGTACTCAAATCACTATAAAAGCAAGACACATAATGTAAATTTTGAAACAAAAGCAGGCGTGTTAGAGTAAATAAAACAGATTCTGGAAGTGTTAGCATTTGTTTTATGTGACACTGAACATTTGTCTTTTCTGACTCAGTTTGTTTTATTCAGCGCTGTACGAAGCATTTTCATAAATTTATTAGAAGCTAGGTTTGCCCATAAAACCTGACAAGATGCTCTAAATATGAATAAAAACTTTAATGTTTCTTTTACCTATAACTTCGAAAAAAGATGAACATCAAGTATATATTTCAATTAGAATCAAAATAATGAGTAAACTTATAATATTAATGAAAAGAAATGTTAAGTCAAATGGTGTGTATGCAGGCAAACAAACAAGTATTATAGTGTAAAAGTAATATAGTATATCTAAAAGAATTGCACACATCTTAATAAAAATAGCTTTTTTAGATGATGGTTATTTTACTTTTTTCATTTCAGTTTCCAAAATTCTGTAAAGTAAAGTTGTAAGTTGCTTATCAAGTACAATGTACACTGTGAACAATTCCGCTTCAAATTACGATACCGGGACTTCATCGTAAATCGTAGTACATCATTCGTAAAATTCATTTCTCGAATCCATTTTTACCTTAAAATAATTGACCATAATTTTACATTAATATTTATTTAATTGGAGTTATTCAGTGATTTTTATAGTAATTACTGTAAAAATTCCTGTTTTTCGAGTTTTTTTTTTGTTTCATAACATATTTCGGTAAAAATGGATTTTACATTAAAACGTTCTGACATGCTGATCGCAGGTACTTTTTAAAGTAATTTGGTACGAAGATTTTTACAGTTTATGTACAATTTTAATACCCGGTAAAAATACAATCACTTAAAATAAAACTCTACTACTAAGTAAAACTAGTAGTTTTATTAATAGTTTCGAGAACTGTTCATAGTTGTTTTAGGATGTTTTTTCTTCTATACAAGTGGAAAGATAAGCACTAGTATAGATTTTTGCTTCATTAAATTGAAACGTGATATATATTTTTATCCGCATACTCTAAAACGTATTCAACTTTAAAGTGAGAAAAATCTAAATGTGTTAAGTAAATTTTTTCATATTCTTGTATATTTTTTTTCTTTTAGAGCAAAGAAATGGCGATGTCTTCTTTGCTTAGAAAATCTGTATTTCAGATTACTTTAGCTGTTAGTTTAGGAAATAAACTTGAAGCATTATATTTATTTGAAAATTTCAAGGGTCACATGAAATTGTTTATTTATATAAAGAGTGAAAAAATAAGCTTGAAGCGTAATAGGTAAACTTTACTTGTCTACTTTTAAACATATAAAATGATGGAATTTCAGAGAACTTATTGTGCGTAGTCGTTCTCTGAACATATGTTCTTTCCACCTGTAATTAATTTCTGCTTTTAATAAAAAGGAAGAAAAAAAAACTAATGTTTGAAATTTATTTAGCTATTATCTTTAAACATTAGGATTATATCACTGTATTTATATGGAAATCTATAGCAATGTAAGGAAAATACACATTTTTATTCATAGGATATTTTGAATCGCAAGTTGATTCGTTTTTGTTTTGATATGCTTATTGCTTTATTGAAATTACACACATTTGCAGGGTCCCGCAGTGGACTGATCGTTGAGACACGGTTCCCAGCAGATCACCGAAGTCAAGCATCACTGACTACGGTCAGTGTGCGGGTGGGTGACCGCTTGGATCAGACTGCGTAGGGACCGAGGGAGTGCGGTATTGGTCCACGTTAAACTGTTCTACCGTAAAGCGATCGGCTTCGCGTGCAGGTCATCGGGCTACCGAAGGGGGGTTGCCATCCCCTCTGCAGGAATCAAAATTTTGATGGCATGCCTTCGGATCATCCTCAGGGATGTTTCTCAGACCATCGCCAATAGCTCATTGTGCAGCTCTAGTGCGACGTAAATGAACAACAACAACAACATTTGCAGGCTTGTGTGCTCAATTTAGACTTATAAACCTTTGTCAAGTAGAAAGACAAGTAGAACATATCAGAGAAGGACATCATGAAGAATGCATTCAGGGTGACGGCGGGATTCGAACCCGCTACCTTCATGCT